CATGACTTTAAGGGGTCAGCTTTCTCTGAGGTTGCATAGGGAAAGAGAAAATTCATGGAAAGAAATCAAGGCTTTTGTTAGGAAGGAAGAAGGAGGGAATGGATGCAGGGTAAATAACCAACAATTCAATCTACCCGGAACTCATGCATTGCTCTCTCTTAGCTCTCCTGCTCACCTAACAAGTGATCTCCCTTCTCTCTTTGGTTCCAGGTTAAAACTGTTCCACCACCTGGCCCCAGAGGTCTTTCATGTCTACCAATAGCATTTCCCTAAAGCAGACTCTCTGGGCACATAGCCTGTACTAGTCTTAGAGACTCTGCCCTCTTTCTTTGTCACTCGGTCTTTGTGCTTTGGTAGCTTGGCTTTTCTGAACAGGATTTTGTATATTCTTTCATTAATCTATCCTCTCCTTGGCACTGTCACCATCCGAGGCTTCCAGGCTCCTGTTTGAGATTCCTGTACTCTTCCCAGTGCGTCACCTCATCATCTGGTTTCTTCTTGTTACTGACTTTGGCATCAACTTTGAAAAATCGAAAACCCAACTATGTTTGATTAATCTTCATGCATTACACCAAATTCTTTAAAATTTCCATTTCATTTACATTATCATCAGGGACATGAACTGAGTAGAAGAGAGAATGTGAGGATGAAAGAAGCAGCCTGGCATATTTACCACAGGCTGCTGCTAGAGAAGCCACAGTTATGATTTTTTAAAAATATATTTTATTGATTTTTTATAGAGAGGAAGGGAGAGGGATAGAGAGTCAGAAACATCGATGAGAGAGAAACATAGACCAGCTGCCTCCTGCACACCTCCTACTGGGGATGTGCCCACAACCAAGGTACATGCCCTTGACCGGAATTGAACCTGGGACCCTTCAGTCTGCAGGCCGACGCTCTATCCACTGAGCCAAACCGGTTTGGCGATTTTTTTTTAATTTATTGATTTTTTTTGAGAGAGAGGAAGGGAGAGAGAAGCATCAATTTATTGTTCCATGTACTTATGCATTCATTGGTTGTGTCCTGACCAGGGATTGAACCTGAAACCTTGGCATATTAAGAAGATGCTCTAACCAATTGAGATACCTGGCTAGGGCCCAGTTATGATTCTTTTAATGTGACAAAATGACTCCACTGAAGCCTTCACAGCCTATAGACTGGAAGATGAGGCTGCACAGTCCCTCATCTACAACATAAATAATGTGTCTGCTTGCTCTGTTTGGGGGAGTTACTGCTGCAGAGGTAAAGGGAAGTGTTATGCCCCTGTAATCACATCCTCACACATTATTCAGTGAATAATTTCAGAGAACTTTAAAGCATGGTCAAAATTTTTCAGAAACACAAATTAGAAACTGATTTACTACAGGGTTGTTGTTTTTTACTCCTGACAGCAACTATATGTCATAATCTGTCAAACTCTTTCTCCAGGAAGGAACATGTGAATGAAGAGGGTGAAGCAGGCTACTTTCCCATGTTCTCTTTCAGATACAATACTTGTTTTTGTCTCTTGGTGAGAATAATGGCACTAGTTTGGCACTTACAGATGCAAACTTTAAGACCTTTAACATATCTTTAAGACACTAATAAAAGGGTCAATTATTATGATAATTATATGATGATGTTAGCCAGCTTTAACTGAGTGTATACTGTGTGCTAGGTATTAATTTATTTAGTCTTCACAAATGGCTCTGAGGGTAAGTGGCATTATTATTCATCTGTTAAAGCTAGGACCCAGAGAGATTAAGTAATTTGTCCTAGTTAACCCAGTTGGTAAACAGCGGAATTGGAGTAAAACCTGATAGTCTGTCTCCAAAGCTCTTGCTCCTAACCATTACACCTTCCTTGTAAGTCTGCTTCCCCCCGCCCTTTATAACACATCCTTTGCATAATAGTACATTGTGTTACTTCTCTTACTTTTAGGACTATTCCTTTGTTTTTTCTCTCTCCTATTTCTTCTCATGATTTCAATGTCCTTTCCATGGGGAGGGCGGTTTATGCCAGCAAAGAGAGGTCTGACAAAGATGTCTGGGCCCGAGGGAGGAAATGGCTGAGTCAAAAGTGGGGCAGAGACTGGACTGGATGCAGTCAGTGAGCATTAAATTGATTCCAGAAAATCAGGAAGATCCCAGGGGCCTGGAAAAAAGTGACCCAGAACCTTGGCAGTTAGAGAGATATATCTCATGGCCTCAGTAAGTGGTCAGACACCAGGGGATGGGGCTACAGACCTGTTTTTCACTTTGGCTTGTCACCACCTGATTCTATTTAATCAAAGTTCTAGTGCCCAGATCATCCGTATGCCTTTCCAGGCATTGTTCCTTTGACACATCTTTATTTTTCCCTTTCAATCCTGTGTTGGGTATATTACCTTGAAGTGCTCCTGAAACCTACCGGATGAAATACCAAAAAATAAATTCTAGAGCAGAAGCTGTTGCTTAGTTGTGTTGTTTTTTTTTTTTTTTTTTTTTTTTTTTTTTTCGTGTGTGTGGTGTTTTTTTTTTTGCATTAAGAATTTATTATACCTGCTATATTTCTGGTCTTAAGTTTAAGAAATTATTCAGATGATAAAGGCACCTATAGCCCCTCTATAGAGGATGCAAAAAACTGGGGGCTGTTTCAATCCTATAAATGTATGTCCATGAGAAAATTCTGGTTCCCATTAGGTGATAATGTTTGTCTTAAATCTAGACCAGTGATACATCTTCAATCTAGACCATTTATTCTTTCTTTCTTTCTTTCTTTCTTTCTTTCTTTCCTTTTCTTTTTCTTTTTCTTTTTCTTTTT